TTCTCCCAAATTTCAGCACTCTCCACAACAAAAAATTTTCCACTAACTAATACCAATTACAAGAAAGTATTTATATGTTTAGAGTGAAAAATTTCAATTTAAATTGGCGTATGAAAATACATAGGAAATGCTGATGGATAAATCATTACTTAGGACATCAGGAACTTAAAGAGAAATAAAGGAATAAAGAGTATTATTGAAAGTGTAATGAAAGTAGTATTAATATATTATAATTTTGCAAGTGAATATGAATTTGTAGCAGTAAGCTAATAAAATTATTACTTTTTAAATCTTTTACATTACAAAACATTACATACAAAAGAGGCATTTTATTTAGAAGTTACAAATTTATCATACTTTCTGCAACAGCACCCAATACTTCATTTGTCACCAGGGATGCAATATTATTTATCGTATTCTGTGGAATGTTTGATATGTCTTCATCATTATTCAAACGTAAATTTGCTTCTGGTATGTGACCTGAAATTTATAGCAAAAAATCTTAATAATAAATAATTTCCTGAAATAACATGCATACTATTCAAATTTTAACATAAAAAAAGGAGTGTACTGAATATTTGATTGCAAAAGTGTATTTTGAGGGCCATCCTGAGCAGTTAATGTTGGTTAATGTAGTGACTGATATATTGAGGGCTTAGATTTGATTTGTGCATATGCCTCGATGTTTCCATCATGTATGGTTTTGGCATTGTACATCTCCATGCACTTCACTGCATCTGTCATTCATTCATAAAAATTACCTTTTCCTATATGAAACCACAATTGTCAAGAACTAGCACAGGCGAGAGAAAGATAGAAAAAGAGATAAAGAGCAGAACAACATCTGTCGGCTAGTTTCACATAAATGAGTTCATAACAATTAGATGAAGATCATGAACAAATATAAAAATAAAAATTTCTTAAAAATAACAATGTACAAAAAATTGTACTTCTTTTTAAGTCTACAAAATATTTTAAAGTTTCTGGTATTTTCAGATAAAGTATTGAATAGAATAGTGCATTAATTATAACTAGCTTGATATGCTGAAGTCATTGAACTTTAATTAATAGAATTAGAGTCAGGATTGGGAGTGGGTGGAGAGCAAAGGTATACAATTGCCCCAATGTTGGGAAAAGGAAGAAAATGTTTAAGTTTACATGTATTAAAATTGCTGTGCAGCTTGAATTAGTTTCCACATGCTGCACATGTACATCCACACACACGCATGCACGTGCATGCACACACACACACACATACACACACACACAGCATAGAAGATCTGAAATCCTTCCACTGAATGAAACTATTTTGTTAGGGACTGAATGAATAAATATTTAAATTTGACAAAAACACTGCAGTTTAAACATGTAATCAATGATTCATTTTCAAATGACAATGATTTTTACCCTCTGCGATATTATTCAAAAATGAATCTGTAAACAGTGACTCGATGAATTGAATTGTACTTCTTGGTTGATCTGTGACCTCAGCCTCTTTATATGGTCGTTTCTTAAAACCTGAAAAATGACAAAATGTAAATTCAATTAACATTGCTTTCATTAGATCAGTACATTTATCAAGAATTACTTACATTTTTCCTGAGAGCATCGATACGCTATGTAGTGTTTTTTCAATAATCTCTGCAAATGAAGTTCTTCACTTTGTGCTATAGTGAATATAATATAAGGTTTAAAACCTCTATTGAAAATAGCTCTGGCTCCAACCATGTCCATGTGACTAATACATAAACATTTCTTTTCAAGAGCTTTTGTTAACTCTCTTCTATCTGAATTGAATACAAAAAGGAAAACATCAATATAGAATATAATATGATTATGGTGACATTTCATCAAGCATTTATATATTTTCAGAATGCCATAAAAAATTAAATTCACTCTTTTTACTGAATATTATAAAGATTAAAAAAAGTTTAATCCGCAGCAGATTTTTATGTCTCCAGGCTTGCAAAATTTCGATGTGTTTGTACAATTTGTTATGTGTAGTTTGGATTACTACACCCATTATAGAGAGGACCTAGTATTCAGCAGTAAAAATTCACCAGCCAATTTCCATCAGAGGTACATCAGCAGTTATCTAGAATATCTTCTAACCCAACTTTAACTGTTTTCAAATAAAAGCAAATTCTTCTCATCCAAACTCATAATAAATATTGAAAAGAAAAACAATTATTACTATGATTTTCTAATCAAGATTGGGCTCAAACAACAATAACATTCAAAATATTCTCTAATCCTCTATTAATATTCATTATGTCTTGTCTAGTCAGTTGTCAAGAGGACAGCCAGGTAGCACATATATATCTCCACATATACATGCCACTTACTACACTCGCTCCTGTGGCACTACACAGCAGCCAAAACAGGGAAGGTTTGATGAAAAGGGACACTTCACAGAGCTTGAACTAGCTCCTGTGAAGCAGGAAAACTCATTTTGTTAAAACGAATTTCACATGAAATTGTCCGAGACCTCGTTGGTGAAAGGCAAGCGACTTTGCTCTGTGCTGCAAGGTTCCCTTAGCAGAAAGTTGTGGTGTGAAGGTTGTCAGAAACATTCAAATTGGTTTCCAGTTGGTATGTATAGATCCTTTCTCATTATTTTTTACACTGTTTCTGTAAAGATATTCTTCAAGATTTAAAAAAAGTTAAATGCTCAAAAAAACCTGGATATTTTCTAATGACTGTAATTAGCCCATTACTTAAATGAGAAAGCAAGTTTTCATGTACTTTTTTTAAAAAACGCTTCTACTCATATATAAAATGTATTGTACATTGTCAAATCTTGTAATAAATTGTTGTGTTTCTAAGATTAATGAAACTTTGAGAATGTAAATAATGTTACTGGTAGGTCAGAATCAATTTCTTTTTGAGAGTGTTGCCCACACATCTCCCGCATAAATGTTGTTTCACAAACTTACATTAAATATTCAACAATTTTGGCACTTCTTATTAACTTGGAATTATGAAATTGGTAAATATATTATACTCAGGTGACAATACATGATTGTGTTGATTTGAAGATGTCATTCTTGCACAATTTTATAAAATTGTTGATATTAAAAGTGTTTCTAAAATTTTAAAAATTAAATTGCATTTTCTTCTGTTCATATTTTTTTGATTGCTTTGGGGCACAATTTTCAGAATTAATTTCAAGATTCTTAGATACTAGTACTTTCTTCTGTAAAGTTACCAAGTCCAAAACTCTCCCCTAAAATTTCTGTATATGCCACAAAAACTCCAGAATGAGCAAGTTCATTGATCTTGTCTTTTGTAACAAAGTGGTAATGATATCCATCAATTTCATCTTCTGATTTGGGTCTTGAGGTGTGCCATACCGCAAGGGAAACCTATCAAATAAAATTACTGTATAGTGTGTAATATATAAAATAAGGTATATTAGTATTTAATAGCTAGTGATACCACACTTATTTATGGTATTGTTGGATTTTCCAAATCAAAAAACATTTTGTTAATTCTTACCACTCCTTAAGGAGTCCTTTACACCAGACCATCAAAAGAACTTGAATGTAGCATAATGTCAAATCCCTGTATAACAATGAGTATACATCAAAGTTGTCATTATTGATTATAACCTCACAATCCTTCAGTTAGAGTAGGTACAAACTTTAACTTCCTGCACTAGTACCAAATAGTGCATATCTTTGTATAAAAATGTGTTGGCATCTCCCCCTTCACACACCTATCATCTTCATGTAATGAAAGATAGACAATTTGAATAGGGCTAAATTTAGCATGAACAATACTGTGGATTCACTTTCAATTTATTACTTGCTGTCTTTGGGCATGTCAACTGCTTTGGTGACAAGTACTAGAGTGAATGTTTTTTTGTTGTTTTTTTTAATGCCTGAAGGTGGCTGTGTTCTTCCCCTACTGGATGGTGAGATCTGGTTCTGACCTACAAGGAAGCTTTGCAGGGGATTTCTCCCTCTAGGTATCTCATCCCAGCTGGGCCCTGCTCCAGCCAGGGCAAGATCTAAGCTCCCAACTGCTCTCCTGGCATGTATGGTAGAGTGCTGCGTGTAAGGACAGGACAAAGAGGAAGGAAAGATTGCTTGTGCTCCATGTTTGTTAGGGTATGGTTCTTGCATTTGTTTGGTATCAATCAGAGCAGCTAGCTGTTAGTTTCCAGACAATGGCTAATTTTGACCTAACTATTTAGCTAGTATTGAAAATCCACCACCATCAGGACTTGAATCCTAAGTCCTTCCTGTCAGTTTTTGCAGACAGCAACAATACTGACTCAGAGCTAAACTCAGATGGTGGATTCACTTTTGTGGTCAACTATTGTTGTGTATTGGAAGCTCACTAAATACATTGTGGAAAAATTTAATGAGATTCAAAATTTATGGTTAAAAGCAAGGGAATACATATTACAATTATATCTTAGTAGTAAAACACCAGTTCTAAATATTACTATTTATACTTTTTGTGCACCAAAACAGTTGGTGCCCAAGACCTGATACATTACCTGTGTCAATTTACAAAGTTGAGGTGCTTTCACTGAAATATTTTACTGTTATTACATTCAGATTTTAAATGTATTAAACGACAGATAAAGTGTTGTTTACTTGATATTCATAATAATAGATACTATCAACATTTTAGAATAAATAATGATTGAGAGAAATAAACGCAAATTGACAATACACATGCACAATTTTGATAGTGTTTTTTCAAAAATGTAGCAAATGAAATTTATCTACGACTTAACAACATTAAAAAACTATTCTATCCTTCAAAAGGTCAATAATTTTGTTTGCATTAATAGAAAAAATAAGTCCCTCTTCAACACTCAGTAGCAGTAGTTAACCTTCCCCTCAGAGATGTAATTAGGTTTTTCTCAATTGGTTTCTTACTTGATTGAGTGAAAATGTCCACTCACATGCATAATTGGTCTCTGGAATGTTTGTTAATTACTTAATAGCATTATGCATTGAAGCTTAGAGATTCAGTGTCTCACTTTGCATCTACCATTGGATCCATTCATTTAAAGTCATTGATAAGGCTCTATTTAGAGTTAGTTTCACATCTTAACAGCTGTACTTCTGCAGTCAAATCATCTGACAACAATCTGAAGATTTGCCAAAATAGCAAACAATTCATTTTTTGCATTTGAACTTTGTAGATCCCCTTTTCCCTTTACTCAATATTTATTAGGGTATGCATTAGCACACATAGTACATCTCATAGCTATGCATAATGCCCATTTATGAATTGTCTGTCACCATTGGCGGATCCAGGGGGAAGCCATGGCTCAAAAGGCCAAGAGTTTTCGTGTTCCTTCCATTCTTTAGCAAAATTGATTTAAATATTTGTTTACGTTTGCATTATGTAATTTTTTAAACAATAATATTATTTACTATCATATCTACAGTATATAAATAATATACAATAACAAATATATTATTATTTAACAAAAATCTATAATGGCCCCCTCCG